CCTCTCCATTCGTTCATCTCATCCCCTATCTCATTCATCTCAGTTAATCACACATTTTGCTGGCTCTGTTCGCCCTCTTTAGAGCTCCAAGTTCGTTGGGCGGGTGTGTATATTAGTGTGGGAGTGAGTTGATGAGCAAGTGAGTGAGTGAGTGAGTGCACTTGTGGCCATGCCGCTCTGGGATAAGCAATAGTCCACCCACCCAAACTCTCTTTTCCTCATCTTTTCCTCATCTTTTCCTCTTTTCTGACCTCTATACTCCACGCTATAGACGGACGACAAGTGCACCGATATGTCGGGACAGATGGCCAATCTAGAATCGGCCAGACTAATATTGAGCAAACTCAGCTGCAGCCAAGGCTCTATTGGGTCTGACGACTGGCTAAATTTATCCCAAAAACAACGATTTGTGAGCCCAGTTAACTTTCTCTTTGCCCAAATTTCCAACTCAAGATTTGTGTCTGTGTACCTGAATGCATATACATGCATACGTGCATAAATATATGCTTACATACAACTAACTGACTAAATAAATATGTGAATAAATATGTGAATAATTATGTATATATACAAGTTTTGTGTGTGTGTGTGCGAGTGTGAGTGTGTGTGTACCACGCTATATCCAAAATAAATCTGTATGCAAGCCAGTTAGCCTCAATATGAGTACAAAATGCTATCATTCAATTGCCGCTGCCTAATTCGTCTACCCACGAGCCTTGCCGCATGATAGCATCAGGTTCCAGAAAGGCCTGCTTGAAGGGGCTGCCTGGGTCGCCAACATGCCGTCGTGACACCGTGCTTTTAAGACCGCATGCTGTACCCTCATTATCGGCTTCTATGATTTGGCATTGATTAAATGCACAGAGGAGATGTTGTCCTCCTGGCTGCCTCCGACCAACGACTGAAGCAAGCGAAAGAATTTCAGTTCGCAGAGTACACTTGTAACACGCTGGGTCGCTATTGTCCAACCCTCCGCAAGACTATGTCTGGCTAGGCTGGCAGGCCAGACAGTCGACATTCTCATAATACCGTCCAAAGTAGTCAGCTTGTGAAAAAATATTTCTGGCTAGCCCAGCTTTTCTGTCAAAGAGCCGACATATTTAGCGGTAATACATAAACAACGCTAAGGTTTGGATGACATTTGCCAACTAAATAAACAAAAAAAACAAAATACGAAAATCATTAATTATATGATTTCGATATTTGAAGTTTTATCATAAAAATGCAATCATTTTATTATAGAACGAAATGTCTACTGTTGAGTAAAAACTAGTTTATTTTGCATGAGGAGGTTTTGTAACTATCTGTAATCCTTAGATTATAACTTCGTCACTGTTTAAAGTGCATCAGATTGTAATAGTGAATTTTTTCCGTCCATGATATAAATAAGCATCATGATGTCATAGCAATATACTTAGCTCTATCTCAAATAAGATTTTATTTCCCAGAGTGGACTTCAGTTTCGCCACCGCCTGGGTCTCATTAGCATACAAGATAAAATTTGTAGCGACGCGTTAACATTTGGCTTCATAGTCATAAGTGGCATTGGCTCAAAGAACATATGTCATTTTCATGGTGAACCAGGTCTTTGCCAAATCACATTTATGGTGAAAGTACCGATAAGGCATTCATATGATTGCCATTTTAACAGACTCCTATCGTGATGCCCCGATGCGCTACAACCGGTTTTGAATCCCACTGGGAGTGTACGTGAGACCTAGGCAAGGTGGAAACTATAGTCCAGCCTGGATGAGGAAACCTTATGGGAATTAAGGCTAAGTGATAATGTATGCCATAATGAGGTACACTCATTTATTGTGGGAAAAATTCCACTTGACTAACTTTCCCATAAAAGTGCATTTTAATCCCCATTTCGTACACTATTTTTACGCTTTTGTTTATACCACCTAGGTTGACTAAGTTCCAGCAAAAGTTATTGTCTATGATAAGAGAGGAATAGAAGATAAAAGTATGACACTAGTATAGAATAAACATAAAGGAAAGGGAGCATAAATTGATTTCAAGAATAATAATGATATGGT